GACTCTCTTCCCCACTTAAACTGCTTGCTCCAAAATTTAACTTGGTAATGAGAAGGCGAAGACACACCATAAACGTTAGACATACGTTCATGAATCTCCTTAGGTGCTTTCCCTTCTTTGGTGAGGAATTTGATCACTGAACGATGTTCAACTTTCGTCAAATCCATGACAAACTCAGGAAAATAAATCTAATGCGCTACCACTTTGAATGGACTTGAGCCACTGAGCTGGTATAGTGGTGGGGCACTCACGAGACCTGTCGAGACATGTCACAGCAGGCACAGGCCTGTTGCTCATCCCTTCCATATTCAGGTAGATAACTTATTGAGTGGCCCTCGTATCTTCCAAGGGTCTCCTCAGGGAAGGAAAAAGAAGCAAAGCCTGCTATGGATATGTAAGAGAAAAACTGAGGAATGGAAAGTATCCAGAAATAACATGTATAATGCTGTGGGAGCTAATTACAAATTGAGGAATAGTTGTTATGGTCCTACATAGCAAAAATATGGCAAAAGTGAAATGCCTTAGCCAAAGGGCATTATTAATTTTGACTTCATTCATGCCTTGCCACTTTTCATGTCTCCCATGCTCTGACAAGCAGGGCATTGCAGCAATGGGTTCTGGTTCTCCCAGACCTGGTAATTTGGATGCATCTACTGTATGCCCCCCTAAGAGACCTCTGAATTTCCCAGCCCAAAATGACTGGCAGAAAAGATTAGGCCTTGTTCATGGTAGAATGACTATTGTGAAGCCTTTTCCTCAAGAGGGCTGAGCATTCTGTTTGAGCTTGAGTCCATTGGTCAAGCTCAAACCATTATTGGATGTACTCAGACCTGTTTGAGCCATGACCTTAGGGTGGGATGAGTGACAAAGAAAGTCAATGAAGTTTATAATTCTTGTGATTGCTATCTGAATGGTCACTTTCATCATTACACATGCAGTGCCAAACAGGCTGAAAGTTGAGTATTGTGTAAGTCAAACTTCAGAAACATTGCCTGCTACTCCTTTCTAGAAGAATTTTGTAACATGAAAGGAAGGAATTGGAATGAGAAATGGTTATCTGTGGCCAGGAGAAGCTTGAATTAGTTGCTTTTCTTCTGATTATGCCCCAAAAAATTTACATTGTCATTTATACATACGTACATATATTTTCGATACTGCTTTTCCTAACTTATGGTTCAAGCATGCCCAGGATCATCCTTCAATGACCCCAATCCTGGGCAACAGACTCAAGCTCAGCTGGTGGAATGCCAAGCCTCTCATGACCAAGCCAAGCGATGTAATCACTCCACCTTCTGTGAGGTTTATTGACAGGTCTTTTGCTTATCATCTTGGCCTAGAAGACTCCTCTTGGAAGTCTCTCAGGAGGCATATGGCAGACATGTTGAAACCACCTGACTTGAGACCTCTTGATCCTGAAAAGCAGCTTTTCAACATTTTAACATCCAGCGCTTCAAATTCAGTAAAATTTTCAAGTTAAAGTGTTGTAAATCACAATGAACCACCAGTCTGTATATTCCTTCTCACCAGATGTATCACTTTGACACTCTCCAACATGATTGAGCACATGTAATTAGCAGTCTCTGTGAATAAATTTGTTTTATGGTACCTCTTAACTGGTCATAAGAGCTGTTTATGTTTTGGTTCTTTATAACTACTGTTCTGGGTAGTTATAGAGTTCTGATGCAAAAATTTAGCTTTTTGTGTAAGTTGTGCTAAAAATTTCCAGTACACCACATATTTTCATGAATACATTTTATGGTAATTGGGCAAAATATTTTAAAGAGATTCTTTAAGAATGAAGAGATGAAACAGAGTTAAACATGGGACTATCTGGTAGTTACAGGGTTAAGTAAATCATTTTTTAATCAAGGATATCTGCAGGCTAAAGCTAATCTCCATTTGTCTGAGAAGTGCAAGAAAACATGAGGTTCACATGATGTTGGCAGGAGATATGATGTGATAGTAATGACACATGTGGAATTTATAGTATGAAAATGACCATTTCATTGCTAAGAATGTTTGCTGTCTGCTCTAAGATAAATGCCAAAACATGGCAAAGTGAAGTGCCTGATGAAAAGGAGTACACAGCTTGTTCATTGTTATTTTTATGACCACAAACTTGAAGAGTTATTACATTTAAAAGCACTTGGTAAATATTTTTAAAAACTCATCAGAAATCATCCCACTTCATCTGAGATGTCATGTACAGAAAAACACAATATAATATGGAAATGTTGAAAAAGAATCCATTAGCCCCTTTTCTTTTTGAGACACTTCATCATGAGGTGTTAATTATATTTTTCTATTTCTAAAATAAAATTGATAGTACACAAGCCGAAAGCTTGTGTATTATCAATTTAGTTCAAGTCTCAGAATAAAAATAAACAATCTACCAAGTTTACTTAATTCTATGAACCTCTGAATTGACATACTTCTAGAATATCACAAAGCCAGCATTGTCAAGAAAGTTCTTGTTCTTGTGATGTGATATTTCTCAATTAGGCCATGCTTAAAAATCTCAAAGCTGGACTTGAAAAAAGATGATTCTCTCATGATATTATGTGGGAGTGCCCTGTTCAGGTCTCTTGTTTGTCTGAGTTTCATGTGAAAGGATTTTCAAATCACTTTCAGAGATAGGGAAAACAAAAGCTAATTTTTTGTTCTTGGTAAAAATGCCCTAAAAAGAAAGAAATTTCTTCATATTATCTTAGATTCAATTATATATGCAGATTGCTCCAAAATTTTCCATAAATGTCTCATATAAATTCAGCAAACACAGGTAATGATAAATAATGTTTAGCATGCAGAAGTATTGATATTGTTTATTCCTCAAAACATTTGCTGCTGGCATTAATGCATATTTGCCAGCATGCTGGGAGTCCAAGGATACCATTGCTATAGAAATCCACTGGTCATGAATGCAGCTATTGGGTTGGAAAGAAAGTCTTGCAACACTTTCTAAAACTATTGTTTTATACTTTATAAAACTTTCTAAAAATTTTCAAAGGAATGATGGGCGGGGTTTTGCATTTGTATATGCTGGAATGTTCTCGAAGCTTCTGCCCTCGGGGTATATAAGGCGGCTTCTGCCATTAGTTGGCAGCCATGGCTCCGATCGAACGAGCAACTCTTCGCCCCATCGTCTACTACGAGTTCCTCCAAGGACACTCTGCGAGAGCCGCCGCGGACAACATCTGCGCTGCATTCAAGGGCAACGTCGTCCACTATTCCACGGTGTCTCGATGGTTGAAACGCTTGGAATCTGGCGACACGACCTTCGGAGATCGACCACGCTCAGGACGTCCATCTACAGTCGATGACGAAGCCCTGCGGAACGCCCTCAACGCGAAGCCGAACGCCACCACTCGCGAATCGGCGACTACACTTGGAGTCACCCATATGGCCATCGGCAACCATCTGAACGACCTCGGCTATCGGAAGGTTTACTCGACATGGGTCCCTCATCGGCTCAGCGACTCTGACAAAGCAAGCCGTGTCAGTGTCTGCGAATCACTGCTCCTTCGTCCGCACAGAAAGGACCTTCTGAAGGAAATCGTTACTGGAGATGAGAGCTGGGTCCTCTACGTCAACCATACTCGCAAGAGTCAGTGGCTTCCACAAGGAGAATTGCTGCCACACGAACCGAAATCAGGGTTCCACGAGAAGAAGGTTCTTCTCTTCTGTCGGTGGGATTCAGAAGGAATGTTGTACTATGAGCTCCTGCCAACCAGTACCACCGTGACTGCTGTCGTCTACGCTGCTTGACTTCAGAAGTTGGCTGGTGTCATTCAAAAAGAGCATCCCAAACGCGACAAAGTTCTCCTTCTGCATGGCAACGCTCATCCACGTGTTGCAAAGATGACTCGCCAGACGATTTCGGAACTGGGCAAGGAAGTTTTACCCCATCCAGCGTATTCTCTGGACTTGGCCCCTTCCAACTATCACTCGTTCCGGGCCCTCAAGAATCACCTGCGGGACAAGGCCTTCGACGATCGAGCACAGCTTGAAAATGATGTCGGCCGTTTCTTCGTTTCGCAATCGCCAGAGTTCTGGGCAAAGGGCATTGAGCAGTTACCCGTGCGTTGGGAACATGTCATAGACAACAATGGTCATTACATTGTAGACTGAAATTGCATTTCAATAAAGTTATAACATTTTGAAAAATTAGAACATTCCAGCATATACAAATGCAAAACCCCGCCCATCATTCCTTTGAAAATTTTTAGAAAGTTTTATAAAGTATAAAACAATAGTTTTAGAAAGTGTTGCAAGACTTTCTTTCCAACCCAATATTTCCTTGCCACAGCTTCACATCAGCATCACTGGAGAAGCATGTACTATGGAAGTAATTCTTCATTTCACAGAAGAGATGATAATCAGATGATGCCAAGTCTGGACTGTATGGTTGGTGAGGGACTACTTTGAAACTGGGCCAAAAGTTCCCTTACTGTATATTCAGCACTTTGCCTGGCATTGTCATGTTAGATTTGAGCATCATCCATTTGAATATGCTGTCTCTTTCACTGCACTGCAGCAAGAAGTATTTGTAGAGTTCCAGAGTAGAGTATTTCTGAGGATTCATTGTTGTATTGGGTTCCAAAAAGTCTTTAACATGCAGACTGTGTAAGAGTCTACCACAATGGTATCTGTTAACTCCCAGCATTTTGGCAAAAATGCATTGATACCAACATTGAATATTTTGAGAATTAAACAAGGGCAGTCACTTCGGCTTGTTATGTACTTTTTATCATTACCCATGTTTGCTGAATTGATATAAAATTATTCTGAAAACTTTTCAGGCAACACTCATGTATGAAACAAAATTGCCTCAATTACCAATTATTGGCAAAATTGTTGATTCTTTTTTTGTTCCTATATTTATTTGTTTTAGTTTATGCTAAACAGAAATATGACTTCCAATGGGATATCTATTTTTGTATTACATGCAAGTCTCATGGAAATTTGTATAGATATTTTGAAAGAGATGAGTTTGATGGATTAACCAAAATGAAAGGAGGAAAGTGTTCAAATAATAGGTAACTATTAGTTGGTATGTCCTGCTGAGATAAAAGCACTAAGTCTTTGTGATTCACAGATTGAGACATCATGTCAACTGCAGTCCATTCGGTCAAAGCCTGCTGTATCATACCATCCATTAATCCCACCATCCCTTCTCCCCACCCCTCATTCCTATGCATCTATCACTCGGGTTTCTTACCCTGGTTATCCTCATCAACATCACCAGAAGAACTGGAATCAGTATTATGCCATGCAGCTCTACACACTAGGAGCCTCAGCTGCCATCCCCAACCCTTCTGCACAAAGTGAGTTCATGTTCCTCCCACCTTCTAGAAATGTCAACATCTCAAATCCTCTGCAGGTGGGCATATGATATGTCTTTTGTGTCCTTACTGTACTCTGCACAAAACTTGAAAAGGATTCCATCTTTACTAAGCCTACATCATTTCATGAATAACTAAGGGGGGAAATGACAAAAACGTTGAGAAAACATACACTGAGGAAATGTTGAGGTCTAAGAAGTAAAAGTTTGCTTTTTCTGCATGTTTCTCATGAATCTCAACTGCTGTGAATTTGTTTTGAGATCTAACCATATCATCCTTGGCATTTTTTTTGCCAGTCTACTTTCATGCAGGCAATAGCTGGCTATGTGATTGAAGACATTAGTAGCACTTTTGGACCTAATTCATCTGAGTTTGTCAAGCTGGAGTGAATTTCTAAAAAGTTATTGAATTTAATATGGCATTGAACTCAAGAGTGACTGAGTATCTCACTCTGACTTAGCTAAGTGAAAGAAAGTGAATGAGGAAAGTTCACTATTTTTCCCAAGATTTTTAGGTTTTCCAATCTTATGAGATCTTTGATCCTCTGAATCTTGATATTCAGGAATCTAAAATGCTAATCAGCCACTAATGCTCTGGCCTGTATTGGAACAGCCATCTTTGTTGATTCTTCCATGCCAAAATAAGTCAATGTTTTAATATATCCTTTGTATTAGATGTTGCTATTACAGTACTGGTATTATGTTTAAGTAGGTGCTCAAGGGAAGCAAGGCACAAATCCTTGGGGCTGTCCTCAGGACCGAGTGGAGTTTTACAAGAAGTTCAGCTCCTTGGTGCGACTGGGAAACCTGGATAGACAGGGTGCTCCTGTGCATCGCCAGGTCAGTCCTTACACCTTGTTCGACATCTGTACATATATTTTTCTTACCACTTGTGGATATTTGTAATGGGTATTTTTTCTATTCCTTTTTTTTTTTATTTGAGTGAAAAACTGCTGTGAATTGGATAATACTTAATTTGTTAAAATTAACCATTACTTAGTGAGATGTAACATAATTGGAGGTACCTGATATCCCAAAAAATTTACACATCATTATTGTATGCAGATTACCTAATGTACATTGTGTATTATCAAGAAAGTATATTAATATGTGATGTTGAATGAGCATATAAGAAATATTTGAGTTTGAATTTTAATTGATAAGAGGAATTTATTTATTGCGAGTGGTAGATCAACAAGCTTGGCTTTATAAAATGGCTCATGAATAGAAGAGAGGTTATGAATTCATAGAATACAAGTTTGATGTCATGAACTGGAGGGAGTGCAATTTTTCATCCATGCTGCTATCTAAAAATTGAAGTATTATTAAATCCCTGTTATTTAAAGCTTCACCTTAAAATACTCAAGCCCTGTCTTAGGATTCTATTGGATATGCTTCAATTTTCTCCATCTCTGAGAAAATATAACTCATTGACTGGCCTGCATTTGTCTTATTTGTTGCTATCAGAATGGGCTGTGAAAAGATCATGTAACTGTGACCATCGTTGAAAACACTCTGGAACCACCTCTAGTTCTTTAGCTTCAAATCTGTGATGATTATATTGGAGTAATACTGATTCTGAGCAATATTGCACCAAAATTAGTGACACCAGTGAAGTAATGTTTCACTGGGAATAGCAAGAAAATTTGGCAAGTCTATGGCATGAATAATGAATAATCGCATTACCTGGACATACCTCAGGTATGCTGAGGTAATATGATTAAGCTTACATGTGATGAGCTTAATCACATTAACTTTTGAACCCCATCATTTTTTGTGTGAAGGTAACTCTGTCATTGCAAATCAGTACTCTCCCAAAAAATACAATTACTGAAAAAAACGTTTGATTAGTATTGAAGTTGATGGATGATTCTGCTCTTTTAGTAACCAAAGACTTGGGAATTTTTTTTTTATGCTGCAATTATGGAAGGGATAAGCAGAAGAGTAATGTTTCTCTGTTTATGATTATAGCAAAATGCTTAGAGAAGTGTCACATTCATGGCCTCATCTTTTATCACTCTCTGTGACAAGATAGTAAGGATGATCATGACCACGTTTGGCTCATCACTTGCCTCAGCATTCTAACTTGAGTTTTTTTCTCCAATTTTGCTTGTTCATAACAAATTTGTAAAATAAATTTGTTTGCTATTGCTCCTATGCATGTTTTAATATTCATTTCATTTTTATGACATATCTGCATGTAGACCTACAATAGTAGGAACGATGGTTCAGAGTGTCATTGAATTTAGGTGAATTCCTTGTAAGCAATTGAAAACAGCCCAAAAGTCTTATTATGAAATACAGATTGGTTTAGGTCCCAGGCGATGTAAGCATCAGAGAAAACTGCATGTTACAGGTAATAGTACTCAAGAGAGCACTTCACAACAGCTGTTTTGAGAACATCAATGCATCAACCAGAATCATTAGTTGTACATCATTGCATTGGGGAGATTATTTATCACACATGAATGCTTTGGAAGAAGTGGGGTTGCTGATAGATTCTGTAATCTCTCATCATGATCAAGGGGGAGAACTTCCTTCATCACTTATTGCAATTGATCAGGGAGGACAGGACTGCCTTCTATTGTCTCTCATTGCTATCAGGGAGTTGATGGGGAGATTAATGGCCGGTACCATCACGATGACAGATAATCGTCAATGCACTTTGGCAGCTGTAATTTTTCCCTATCCCTTGCATGAATTGAATAGGTTCATTCAAGGGTATCCTAAACATTCCCAGGGTTCTTTTTTTTATTATTATAGGATGTTCCATTGCTCCTGGGAGTATTCAAGGTGACAATTTTGGCTCTTGAATGCTACTGGTCATGATGGTTCTCATTTGGACTATTGAGATATACTCATTTGGGTTTCACTTTGAAAATTAAAAAGCAATTTGGAACATTTCAGAAAAATAAATATATTTGTTTTGCAATGGGCTGCCTTTGAATTATTCCTCATGATGTGTCAAACATGCTGAGCAGGCAAATGTAGTTATAGCCAGAATAAATGATAAAAATAAATTGAATTGATTGCCAGGATCTCGAAAGATGGGAATGTAAGAAGCTAAGAACAGTAGAAACAAAGTTCTCAAATTGATGATTGATAATTAAATAGACTTTATTTCCCTGAAGCATACACTCTCTGAAATTTTCTCATTAAATGCCAGTTAGGGAGTTTCCTTGCATTTATTTGCAGTTTCAGCTCTTGGGTCTTTTTTTTTTTCATGACCAAATAACCCATAGGAAACCTCTTGGCTTCTGCTATTTGCTAAATGTAGTTGATTCCCAACTGACTAGCAATTGGGGCTTGAATAAACTTTTTTTTTTTTTTTTTTTAGTTTTTGAAGGTTTTCCTCCATTTCACTACAAAGAATTCATTATTTTTGACATCACTCTGAGTGATTAATCCTACTATAGATTCTCAGTATGAGAAAAGTGTTGCATTCTCTATTTCCCCCAATTTTTCAGAGGAGTTCAGAGGAACTGGTATTCCTAAGTGAACTGCAAGACATGCTGTGGTTGGAACTTCAGGCATGGCATGCAGGCCGTTCCAAGGAGGATGAGGACATGTTTCTCACTAAAGAACGGGAGAAAGTGGAGCCCTTACTCCAGGAACTCTTGGATTTTCACTATATTCCTGTTCCTGTGAAACGATACCCCTCTGGTGATTCTGGTATCAATAGCTTTGGCCATCCCCTCTCTGTCTCACGGTCAGTGGTGTACAGGCTACAGATTTGGTACTCCCAATTCTCTGTTTGGGAAGTTCAGATTGTCCATTGGTGCATTGAAAGGGTTTTTGTGCTAGTTAGAAAGTATTGTCTCATGTGATCTTGATAGTTGTAACTTGTTGCTATGGAACCTTTAACACGTTGACAACCAGCCTATTTTTGCTTGTCCACCGTGTGGGACCACGCGCATTTTTTTGTCAAAAAATGCGTCCTGCCATCAGGACGCATGGTCCCAGAAAACATTTTTTTTGCCGAGTTTTTTTAAAGTGTTGAATTTTTTTGAATTTTTATCAGTAATTATGAAATCATAATCTTCTGNACGCATGGTCCCAGAAAACATTTTTTTTGCCGAGTTTTTTTAAAGTGTTGAATTTTTTTGAATTTTTATCAGTAATTATGAAATCATAATCTTCTGGAACGTTCTCAACAGTTCCAGAGGGTATTCATTGAAAAAAAATCTGCATCCTGGCATAAGGATGCATTGTTGCCAACGTGTTAAATAAGAATCTATTCAGGGAGTCATGGAAAGCTGAAATGATCTTATTATATATGTAGACAAGCCAGCCAACTGGAGACTGAGGATGAGACAGGAGAAGCCACATTCTCCCAACTTGAAACATCTCAAGAAGTATCAGCATTAACCACCATGAACAAGGACATGAGTGAATCTGGCTATGGTGCTGAATGTGAGACAACTGACCCTGGCTCAAGCATGAATGATGAGGTGGTTAATCTTGCCAAGATCATGAAACCAGAGCCTGAATCTGCAGCTGTTCTTAGTGTCCTTGTTTCTGAAGACGAAGAAACTGCTTGTGACTCTTCCAAGCCACAACTTGACTTACCGCTGCTACTTACTGTTGCTGGGTCAAATAATCCAAAAGGAAACTTGACTCATAGTGAAGGCGAACATGAAGAGTATTCATGTGATGGATGTCTCAGTGTGTTCTGTCAGCCATGTGTCTTCAATCTCAACAATGCTCTAGACAAGGTGAAAGATCTATTGGATCGGATAGAATATGTTGAAGGTCTCTTCCCATCCTCCAGGGCTCTTGGAGAAGTGCATCCTACATACAAGTAAGTCAAATAAGTAAACTATCATAAGACAGAATTGTTTCAGTTGAACCTAATTTCAGTCCTGGATATATTTCTGAAATTGAAAACTGTCAGAAACTTAAACTATGACAGTGGCTGATTTGAAGTAAGTTGTTCTTGTTTTGTTTCTTGAACTTGCAAGATGTATGAGTATTTGTGATGACATTAAATCTCAGGTAGAGTACCCGTGTGCACAAGCATTTCATGACACTTGAGTTTCTCCTCAAAAATATTCTACAGGCCTTAAGGATTCATTGTCTCAAGATTCAAATAAGATCAAAATTATGGATTTGACCAAGGCAAATTAAAATATGCCTGTGCAACCATGAGTGACCTCCTCCTTGGAGATACTTGGGACCTGTTTTATAAAAGTTGCAAGTTGCTGTAACATCACTTGTTCTTGGTGTTCCTATGTTTTGGCAGATTTGGGATCTTTTGAGGCAGGTAGAGCCAACTTTGGGAGCCTGTATTTACAAAACTATTTGCAAACTCAGTGTCAATGTGTGATGTGCTTGAAAACCCCTTACTCTTCATACCTACCACTTCCTCCCACTCACAATGCATTCCACAATGGGAAGGTTTAAGACTTTTGTACTCAATTGTATTAGTCACTCAAAAAGTCTGTGTCCATGAAACAGCTTAAAAAAGAAAAAGAAAAAAAAAAAGGTCTCCAAGTTTTGACCATTGATTTCAATGCAAGATATATTTCAGGAATTGGATTCCATTAAGGTTTTCGCACTTTCTTCAAGAATGCTTCAACTTTGAGCTATGAGCAGGCAAACTTGCACTTGTAAGATGAAGCAAGAAAGGAAATTATATTAGAGACACACCTAGCACAACTCACCAAACTCAGAACTCACCAAAAGTTAGCTCATGAGTTACACAGTGTTCCAAGTTATTTCTCTTCATTCTATATACAGAAAACTTGCTGAATTGGTTGCAGGTTGGATCCATGTACAAAACAAATGAGAACACTATGTGTGTGGTACAATGTGACAACAAACCTTCGACAGAGCATTGAAATTTTGGGCCGGTCATTGGTATCAATGGGAGCACGAGATGTCCCCTGGCCAAACCTGGAGACAGGGGAGCAACGAATCCTTGTGATTGAGGGCCTTACACCAGAACTCAATCTGGATCTAGCTGCTGTCTCCACTTTGTCCAGCTTCTCCAGTCTCAGCCCAAAGCTCCCCCACAAAGAAATACCAGGTGGACAGTCCAAGCTCAAGGTGAAGTTTGATCTGTCAGTAGGTGACAGAGATATGGATGGAAACACAGATGAATGTCCAAGTACAAATCCATCTGATTCAAATGCATCTGTCACATCCAGCGACTCAGCCATTAATATTCCACTCAAACCAGGGAAGGTTATGAGGAGTCTCAGTGAGACTAGCTCCATTGTCTCCACATCATCTCCTTATAGGTATTATCTCCTTATAGCCCAAATGCATGGATTTTTACTGTAAAGTATTTGATGGATGCCTGTACAAGTCTGTAACTTTTTGTCAAAAGTCATTTCTCTGAATGAACCAGTTGTTGAACAACAGTGATGGTAAACTTCAATCTATGTAGCATGTGAAAATATCCAAGGTGCTTGGGCATAAGACAGCTCAGTTAAAGTCCAGGCCAAAACATATCTAAGGTATAGCAACAAAAAATAAAGACCAACTAGTATGCCACTGCTCTCAGATGCATTTTGTCTCTTCACCCATGAGTCTTTTCAACTTGGCATCAGTTTGACAAGTATGATGTGATACAGTCTGAAAAATTATTAACATGTCTTTTGACAAAAAGTTGTGCATGATGTTATTGAAGTTATTGGAAAACATGATAGCTCTTTTTTTTTTTGCCATGGAGTGCTGCCAGCAACTAAACTGACATCCATTACTCCCCATTGTGTGCTGTCATTGGGCTAGTGGGAACCAGCTATGAATGATTTGTTGTCTCAGGTGCTTGTGAGATGGTTCTTACACTGAGAGGGCTGTGAGCAAGGCAGACTGTGATGTTATTGATAGAGATCCAGTAGCAGTGTGCTGCTATTTGTTTTTAACTTGGAAAACCTCCTCTGAGACAAGTTGTTATATCACTGGTGCAATAGCAAATATGTATCAGCAGTGGTTTTTCCATTCTCAGTCAGCTGCACACAGATTTCAAGTATCCATGAATGCTTGCATCAACAAATTAGTCATCTGGTTTTTCATTTGTCAAGAGACTACATACAAGAGGCTGCAGTGAACTATGTGTAACTAGCCAGTGCCTAGTCAAATGACTGGATTTTACATGACTTAACCCTTCAATATGAGTACTTGGTCCTTTTTCTGTCTCAAGGAAGTTGGACAAACCATCTCTTTCCCCTCTTCCTATCTCACAGCAGAAATGCTGAGTGTTCAGGGGTCTTCCTTCCTAAACACATTAAGGTGCGTTTAAGGAGGAGGATTGTAGCCCTTTTGCTGCATGAATTTTGACGAAGCAATAGAACTGCAGGCAACTAAAGTCACTTTTTCCAGCAAAAGGGCTCAGGAAAGAAAATTGTCAAACTCAGTTGGTTTAAAATCTGGGTCCCCTGTTGCAGGAGCCAAGTAGGCTACCAACTGAGCCGCTAGCCAAAAATAACCCATGTGATTGTAAATTGATAATAACTAATTCAGCTTTAATTTGAAACAATAAAAATGAGACATGAAATTTTCTGAGGGTTTGAGCATTCCCTTGATATTTGTTTTGCCTGGATCTGGTCAGCAGGTGAGGAGGATTTTCTGGATAAACAAACAGCAGTATTATTATATAAATTGTTGGCACAGCTTCATGGCAGTTGGATGAGTTACTTTATTTTTCAATCATCCTTTGTATATTACAAGCTTTCATCCTATTCAGCCTCTCTTAATGGACTCTAAATTCAATTCTTTGTGAGCAAATGAAATTCATCCTCTTTTGTAGACACTATGTAGAGAAGCAGTTGAAGACAAGAGGTCTGAAAAACATGCTGGAGAACTTTGAGTTCATCTTCCGCAGTGTCATCAGTCGTGCTTATTCAGTCCTCCATGAACCCACTGATCGGAATAAGACTCAGACCCAGCGGGGTCAGGTCAGTTCCTGCTTTGTGTATGTGGGGGTTTCCTCATGAATTATGGGAGGGAGTTGAGGAAATGCATATTTCTATTTTGTTCTTAGTTGCTCTTAGTTCTTATTTAGTTGCTCCAAATGAAAATATTCTGGGGTGGGTTAATTATTCATTGCATGTTTCCTGCTCTCGATACTGCTGGGAAAAAAAATATAATTCGTGCATTACCAAAAATAAAAGATCTGAGGTCATGAAACAATCTGTGCAATAGCAGTACTTGTGTATGTTTGCTAAAAAATTAAAAGTGACTTAGAAGCGATAATGAATCTGCATTTTTTCATGTTCATTTCTCTCAGTTATGCAGTTAATTATGGAAGGTGATAATGAGAAGTTCTAGTTTTACATCTACTGAGAGTTTTTGTGAGGTGTTTAGCCAGTATACATTCATGAACAATTAGTTGATGTATGGGTGTATCAGTTTCACCTTTAAGTTCACTTTATTGGTGATGCAATCAATTCAGTCAGGGATAGAAAACAGTTGCCAACCTACCAAGGTCAATGCAATCTTTATTGAAAGGCTAATCCATTACCAACTTTGACCAATATGGCATAACATAAACCCTAGGTAGTGCTAGGATTTATACTTAGAATGACAATTCCCTGGCATTGACAGTTATTGGGCCTGCATCTCTCACCAAGTTCCACGGCAACTGACCTCTGTATGAGTGTTCCTGGAGGCCAGAACTCACAGCAGACAGCATCCATGTGTGAGAGCTATGCAGAGGAGTTTCAGAAACTTGGACTCCCTTCATTCAAATCCCTCTACTTGTTCCTGTGCAAGGTTTCCCTTGACATCATGTATGACTGTCTCACCTGCAAAGTGGAGCATCAGCCAGACAAGCCCTCCTCCCTCAGTGTCCGACAGGTCTGCCTCAGATCTAGTCTTATTCTGGTCATAAATGCATTTATTGGTATTAAATTGCATTATATATTTATTACCATGAAGTGATGAATTTGATAGTAGGAGCATAACATTTATCCATTGGCTGGTGAGAATATGTTCTGCTATATTTATTTCCTGGGAGAATATGCAATAAATGATAATTTAATATTATTGTGGCATTAATTGCAGAAAATTATGATATGATACATAGCCATGTAGTGTATAACCATGTGTTTGGATGATGAAATCCATGTTATATTGATGCAGATGTCTTATATGAAGGAGTTGTGATAGAATATGCTTTGAGGAATAAAGGAAATTAGATGGGCCTCTTGATTGTTTTGGATACAGTTGATGCAAGAATGCAAAGAGATGATAGAGAGTGCAGTGACAGTTAGACAGAAGTTCCTCTACTGTGCTACACCTGTTCTTCTCAAGGCAGATCCTAACGATGTTGAGAAACATGTTCAAGATATTGAACGCTTCGATGCCCAAGCCAAGTGTCTCCTTGAGGTCAGTAGTCAGTCCTTTTCAGAATCAATAGAAGCATAGAGCCAATTAGTAAAATGAGGAAATTGAATATATTTTCTCTCTAGTACTATCTGGACTACATGGAGCAATGGGTGTTAGCACTACAGCGGGAGAAGGTGGTATCAGTGAAGCAGCGAAATTGCCTTGAGGAAGAATGGAATTTTGTGCGTTCCACTTGTCCCAACATTCGTGGCGGGGAATCCCTTGCTGCCATACGTTTCTGGTATACTTTCAGGTTTCTTGTTCTTCCCTTTTAAGCCTACCCTCTTGCCACATTCTTCCAAAGAGAGATAAAGGCATGCGGTATTTTGAAGCTCTCATTTACTATTGTATATTGCTACAATCATGCAGTATAAAATTGATTTATTTTGTATTCTTGATATAGTCTTGCAAAATGAATGAGGCCATGTATATTTCTTGTCACTTTTACTTTTGTTTTTACACTTTGCCCCTAGGTGATACAGATAACTGGAAAAAAAATTAATTGACTTTAGTAAAGTGGCATGTTCTCTTTCATGAACAAGGCACAAGAAGCAGGGTTCAAATTTCATGAATACTCAAGAGCCTGAGGCTCTAATATATTAGGTCAGACTACTCTGAGTCCTTGGGACTCCTCCTCCGACTGGTACTGTTCATATGTATGTCCCATCTTACCCTCCCAATGAAAAAGTATAGTAACTCTGATCAGAATCATTAGAGTTTGTGAAATCTCATCTATGAGCTGCTTGTCCAAAAGAGGCATCATTTAATGGAATTGTATCAAATACTGACAGAAGAGGTGTCTTTTTTTCCAGCAGCTATGAGCAGCTGAAGAAAAAGATTCCCCCATTGTTTGTTCTTGCCTCTTGGCTGCCCAGCTGTTTGCCTATCCAGCCGAATGTACACATGATCCCACCTATGTATTGTGGAAGCCTACTGGAATTTCTAGACATGACATGCTAGGCCTATGTAGGTATAATCAGCTGGAACTTGAATTGTTTGGCCTAGCCTTGGGTTGGCATAACAATGTCAGACTGCTTAACATGTTCACTGCCGTTGATGCTCTTTTCTATGGAAAGGATAACGATGAGGTGTGCCATCGGCAGCAAATGTGTTAAGCTTATGATGATATAGAAGAATAGTCTCTGCTGGAGCCTTTCAGGAATTTTGGCTATCTCACTGAAAGGAATGCTGACACCTTGACAGCCTCAATTGTTAGCCTGGTCAAGAACCTTCCTTTGACCTATTATAGGGGATTATTTACTTAGCAAATTCATGTTGTGCTTTTCAGGTACTTTAGCGTTTAGATGAGGGTGTGAAGTGGAAGAGTGATTCTTGTTTGATTGCTGATGTTTGACATTGGTACCCCTTGTTCATTAAAAAATGAGTGTCATGTCATCATCAGTCATATGGACATTGCCTCTTTATTAAACTTAGATGTGCTTACTACCTGACTGAATACATTTCTTGGACTTTTTGGTGGGTTGGTTCAAACTTCAAATCTCATCCTTTAAAGTTTCAAGAGGCAGCCATAGGTGCAGGAATACCCTCGAAAGTGGGGAAGCAAATGAAATAGGTCAGCTCTGAAATTCAGAAAATTGCTCTTTAATTCAAATACAATCAGGATATCAAATTCATGTGAAACTAAAATGTAAATATTCTCCTTTCCTCAGTTTTCTTTGCAAAATATTTCATCAATTTATCTCATTCTAAGGAATCCAAAATGTCTTGATGTGCATGCATCCATGTGGCATTTGTCAGGCGCTGTTGTGTCGTCGTCTGCATCTAATTCTTGAGTCGCCTCCATTCCAAAAAAGGTCTCTCTGCTGATGCATATGTAGCACAATACCATGTCTTTTGCGGGCAAGTATGAAATCTATGACCACAAATCAAAGTACTTTGCATCCAATGCCCTGATCCCTTTTTTAGGGAAATTATATATTTTTTGCAGCTGAAAAGGGTCACTTTCACTAGCCTGCACAAGTTCCTGTTCATTCTTGTCTGTAGGGACAACCAATAATACAATACTGTTGAAGTTTTCCATTCCTGAATTTTCTTTATATTTTGCTGTCTTTGGTTTCATAATGAAATCAAAAAACGTTCCAGTTTGAGCACTTCTCTTCCATGACATGACACTGAACCTCTATTCACTGTTCTACCATTAAAATGTTTCAAGCAAGACTTATGACTGAAGAGAACTGACTCCAGGACATCCCTTATTTTCAAGGAAAGACTTAGAGAAGGGAGAAGTCTAATCAGATGGGAGGTCTTGAACCTGAGACATGAAAGAACTCCCACTAGGTGCCTATCAAGTGTGCCCTACCACACCAATCCCCCTCAGGCATTATTCTTACTTTAAGCTATATTTACTTCCCAAACCCCACTAAATACTGCGAAGGATCTTGTTGCAACTTGCCAGTGTACACATTACTCTTAGGTTTAAAAAGTTGGGGGGGGGGGGGGCGCAAGTGATACCTTCCCCCCCCAACTGGGTAAGTGAGGGGGGTATTTGCCCCCCCAGTTCCTATGCCCTTGGAGGCAGCCACGACCAAAAGTAAGAGTTAATGTTACAAATTACTTCATGCAGCACAGGATTTATCCACCTGTGGGGTAAAACCAGCTTGAAATAGCTGGATAAATCTGAAAAGAGAAGTGGTCATTTTTGGTACACTTTCATTTGCAAACAACCTCTTTTCATCGATATGTTAAATTTGTCCACATTGTTTAGTTCATAGAAACAGTTGAAAGAGGCATAATTTTTATGCCTCCTTCCATTTCCCTTGATCCTTTTCACCCATCTATTACTAGAATCACCCCTATCATATACAATGGTCCACATTGTTTCTCTGAAGAATTCCACATATAACTTTTCATTATGATTCATGATATAAAGTTCTTTGCTCTTCTGCTTCATTATTTCTCTTTCAGTTTTCAATATTTTATTCTTTATTATTTTTTGTCTTTTTATATCTAGCTTTTATGTGATATTTTGAATCTACAATCCTATTATCTCTGCTTTGTTTTGAAATTGTTTGAATTCTTTGTCATTTCCAGCTTCCTGTCAAGCAACATGCTTAATGCCATTGGAGACTTCCTGGAAACCAGATTGGATGAATGTACTTCCAGGCTCTATGACAGCACCCTGAGTGCTGACAATGATGACCAGGGAATAACTCTCAAGTATGCTGTCAAGCTTCTTTTAATAAAGTACTAGTCTTAACTTATGAGGTACCATTGATATTTTCTTTTCTTGATTATAGACAAAGTCTGCTGCAGGCATGCCGGGGGTTTCAGTCTTTGTTTCATGAAGCACGGGAGAAGGCAATTCGAGCCATTTCATTTGCCAAAGTCCTGCGGAAGGATCTAGAGATTGGAGCTGAGTATCATTTCAATTGTGAAGGTCCTGAAGCTTTCCTGAAGAAGCTGGAGGAGACAAAGCACATCCGTGTCCTTGCTCCACATCATACTGATCAGCTCATGTTTGTTCCTGAGTACCTGAACAATCGTCACAAGTACATCCTGCAGCTGCTGGACATGATTGTAGCACATGACTATGAGACTCCATCTGACTTTGAGGACAATGAGGAACGCGATGAAGAGCATGAGAACCCTGAAGATGGCTATCTCCTTGTCATGTCCTATCCAGATGTCCCATCTCCCTCTGTCTCCTGGAATGGAGCCACCGTTCGCATCTACCCAACTGCTGAAAACACCATTGCCCTCTGCCATCTCAAGGTTCCTTTTAAATCTGACTATACTGACCATACTGACTGCTACATACTTTGCTTGCTATTGTCATCACTTGCAGTGATGAGTTATGGAAATTAAATTCATTATTGAAAAAAAGCAAAAGCAACAGTTGACTCTCATTAAAACGAAGTTGATGAAGCCACCAGTATTATTTCATTATATTGGGTTTTTGTTATATCAGGAGAGAGTCGTATATCTCCAAGTAGAGAACTGAATCCCATTATACCTGTGTATATATGATTATCCCATGGGTGTACTTTGGGGGCCTTATGGCTTTTGAGGATTTCATGGATGACAGTACTTTAACACCTGCTGTGCCACATATCCGCAGGTGGGTCATGTGGCATTGCAGTTAAAGTGTTGGAAATAGCACTGGTAGCTGACATCTTAACCTTTGTGCTGCAAAAAGCTACTTCTGTTACTTCCTGCAACATTGCCTTTGGCTGCATGCCAAAATAAATTATGTTACAAAAGGGTTGAATGTGTAAATGCTTTGTCGTGTAAAGGGCATGGACATCCCAATGTGAAATGAAACTTCCATGGGATCATTGGAACAAAGGAACCCAACTAAAAGCTTCTGAGTGCGAGCACTGAAGTGCTTTGTTCATTTGCATCTTCCATGTTCACATCCCCCATCACACGCACATTCTGCACGTCAAATCCTTGGTTCTCTTAGGCCATGGAGCTGAAGACTGAGGTGAAGGGCTGAATAGAGATGATGACTGACCCTTCTGCATTTTGTAAGGAGGAAAAAAAATTTCCTTCAGGATGGGGGAAAATTGACACGTTCCTTGGCAACATTTAGGACGTGAAACCTAAAACCGCTAAAATAAATCTTAAAAAATAATCCTGTTATGCATAGGGATAAAGTTTTTACATGGATAGGTTTGCTGGTCCCAGAGATGCCTCCCTTGGAAAGATATTCTCATTTTTTTAATGATCCACTCTGTTTTTTTGTAGGATGCTTAATGTCAGTATGTTTTAGAATGATTTTGGTCACTTGACATGACTCCCTATTATTTTTTCTTATGGGAATATCTGTCACTATAGTAACTATCTGTTGCTATGGTTGCACCTTTGACACTCCATTGTCCTATATAGTGATTCATTAATATATTTTCAAGGTGGCAAAAACTATTAAAAGTATGCACCTCTTGAAATGTGTATTGAGAGAGAACAAACCTATATTTTTATCTAAATAATTACTCTGATTGTTTCTTGTGTGCCTAACTTCAAATCTCATCATAATCTGCCATGAGGGGTCATAGTTGAAAAGTAGGATCTGCACTCAGCAATCGAGCAGGTACTTCTGAGCCAATTTTCACATTTCTTTAGTCCCCTCTTTCATTGGATCAGAAAGGATTCTGGAAAATGCACCTTTTACAAAAAAAATATGCCCTCGGAGGTTTTACCTAAAAATTAATATTTTTACTGAAATCAGTACTTGGAGAACCAGATACATACCAAGTTTCAGCCTTATCTGTTTGCTCTTTTGCTGGTGCAAAAATATATTTGGAAAAGCCGATGCAGCCATAAGCTGTGCCCTGAGGGGATGCACCTCAAAATTGGAATTTTTTATGAACTCACTATCACTGCAGTTATTCATTTGCCAAGTTTCACCTTTCTATCTGCTCAATTTGGTAGAACAAAAAAAAATTATTTGAAAACATCACCCATAAATATGCCCCCAGGGCATGTACCTCCAAAGTCAGATTTTTTCTGAACTCTGCATCCCAAAAGGTACAAATATACCAAGTTTCAGATTTCTAACTTCTCTAGAACATGGTTAGAATAAGCATCAGTCAGTCACTCAGTCACGATCATCTATATATATTAGATACGAAGTCTATGCCATGTGGAGCGAAAGAAAAACATGGACCACTGAGAGCAGCAAGTCACAACTAGTACTAAAGATTTCACAGGTTTGCCAACATGTTTGCTGAGTAGTACTTGCAATATGCATTGAAGTTAGTAAGTAGTTGAATTGAGCCTTGGCCCTAATGGGAACTATATAGTTTCATAGATTCACCTGAATATATTCCTATATTCTGGATCACCCTGTGTTGTAGAACCATTAGGGGTTCTACTGTACCTCAAATGAGCTCCAGTAAAAAAGTATTTTCTTCTTATTTCAGCATTTCCCCCTTTCTTTTCTATCATGTTACAGCTCATTACATATCTTTATGTAAAGGATATGGCAAAGGAAAAGACTTAAACTAAAAAAATTATTTTCATATATACAGTATAAAAGAAAAAACAATTTTTTAAAATACTAAATTGGCAGTATAATGACATTTTCTGAACAGAGTTTTGAAATTTCATTTAAGTTATTTCTACTAAAGCAAGGGCATGAGCAACTATTGAAAATAAGAAATGGATAACTTGTTGGCTGTGAAGTGTATCATTGATGATGCTTGCAACAAACTATTACTTCATACTATGTCTCAGTGCCATGTTTATCACTTGTAATCATGGCACTTTTGAGTCCACTAGGTGCCTACCTTGCCCACAAGATATTAGGAATATCTCCAAAAAATTCCAAAGAGAATCTTTATGTTTGGCATCTTAGACATGATTCTTGAAATTTTGTCCAGCTGCCAACATAATAGGGAACTCTAGTCCCTCCAGAGTGACTAGACTGTGTCTGCCTCCTTCTGTTTAAGCTAGGAGAAATCTGAATAAATATAGACCTGTTCATCTGTTTTTAATTTGAAGAGGTTGATGAAAATCATGTGCGGCAATTATGCCAGTCCAAAAATTGAATTTTTCATGGGAGAAGTGTTTGATGTGACATGAATAACATGCTACCAAAGTGCAGAGGTATTTCATTCTCTCCATTACCAGTACCCATCCTTTCAATATCCAGCTCTTTTTGGATCTATCAATGGGTGACCCCCCTGAAATGTTTTCATCTGTTAAAATATCCTTTGTTCATTTCTACAGGCTGCTAGTAATTTAGATGGACAGCCTATTTTTATTTTTATTTTCATTTCTTGTAGGTGAAAGAATTGATGCTTGTGGTGAACCAGCCTCAACAGCTGAATGCAATGCGGCAGAAGTTCCAGTCCCTGGTTGGGAATACAGTTACTGTTGTCCGGGACCAGACATCACCTCATCAAGCCATTGCTGGATCTGTGATGGAACTCAAGGTGATTGTGAATAATATTGCAGCATCAGTACCATTAAACAGCATTTCCCCAGGCAGTTTTTGCAAAAGGTAACCTGACAGTTGCCTACTGCAGAAAATTAAACTGAAACTGTGAAAAAATCCAGTTTGAGAGGATGATGAAGGTGTTTAAATTGGAATGGAAACCATGTATGGAATATAAAACCTTCATTTAAGCATAGTATGGCTTTTGTGGTGCTTTGGAGCAGTTAAACTTGAATCTTCACATATAATTAAAATTTAATTTTGGCAGGAAAATGTGACTTCATCCCACTGTGAACTGCACAAAAAAATTTAGCAGGGCAATGGCCTGATTAAAATTCAAGTTTCAAGTTTGCTTTGCAAATAAAAGGAGGCAGGTTGAGTGACTTGATAGACATTTTTCTCTCAATCTGTGTGATTGCCAAAAGTTATATTATCAGATGCACTGCAATTTTATTTTTGTAAAGGTCATATGGCATTATAATCTAATTACTTATATTGTCCCAATTGACAAAGTAACTAAATAAAATAATGAACACAGTAAATAAAAAAGAAAATATATTGTCAAAGGTCAAACTTTTCATCAAATGGAACCATGTGGTATGTCACCCTATGTTCAAGAGTGAAGTTTGTACATGCTCAAACTCTACCTGTTTCTTGGATAATGCTTCACAGTTTAGTTCCCTCACTAATGGCTATGCATTGCCCTCACAATGTTGTCCCTGCACCCACCTTCCCTCCTTCATTTCCTTTTGCATGAGAAGTTGTCAACCTATAGCATGATCTCAGTTCATGCACCTGACTGGAATTATTGGGAAGTTACTGATGCAGATCTAATCCTTGGAGGGAAAGCATATATGGGGACCCTGCTTTACAGCAAACTAATTTACATGGTGAGGGAAAATCCCTCCAAAATCAGATACAGAGGCATCCTGCAAAGATCTTGCAATCCTTAACTTCCTCCCTATTGGGTAAGGCAAAGAAAATGTGCTGCTCTTTGAGATTCTTTGGAATTTGTGAGATAGCAGATAGCACATAAAAATTTTGCCTGCTTGGCTTGACTTTTACATATCCTTTAAACATCTAAAATTCTTGTTCATTTTACTCCAGCCATATTAGCACAGGAATGAAAACACAAAGCAACTCAAATTTTATATTTGCATGAAGAAACATATCAGCAGAATAGTATTAGGAGTAGTTGGTGTGCATGGAGCACATCTATCTCAGGATGCTCATAAAAATGCTGCTCTTTGCAAAAGGATGAGTGGGGAAAGAATTTTGCAAGAATTTCCTGGTTCAGGAAGAAAGAAATGTAGGCCTGGAAGATGATAATACTGAGAAGGAGAATTCCCATCTCCAAATTGCCAGACATAAGGATGAGCCATAGATCTCAATGGATTCTGAAGTGCAGAGGAAAAAATCCCTTAGTTTAATTATTCCTAGTTAGTAGGGCATGTCCTTCCATCAGCATCCAGGTGTGAGTGCAAAAATAAAATTCCATTTGCTTTTGTATGGATGGAGATAAACAGGTAAACATTTTTGAATGCTCAGAGGATTAATAGAGGTGTGTATGAAAGAAACATCATTATTCTAGCAGTTGTTTCGGAGGTGCCACAAGTTTTCAGAAAGTGGCAAATTTTTATTGCCCATTTTTTGTACGAGTGCCCCTAACACTACTTTAGGTAAAGTGGTACCACTCTGCAATCACTAGAAGTATCACAACAAGTTTGTTACTGCAAAGACTTAAGACATGCACTGACAGGTTACAGCAATCGCCAGTGACCCAGTGTTGCCACATGAATTACAGTGTTGTCAGTCTCATTATTTTATTGTCAGACCTCGTATGCTTCTGGTTGGGGTGTCATGTCTCCAACCAGAGTTGCCAGTTCCCTTCCAGCCTTTGTAGCTGTAAGATTGATTGTTAACAAATAGAGAGAGGTAGGCAATGGCAGTGTAAACAGGATTTCTAGCTGAACTTGTGCAATGCCACATCTGACAATCCTACACATAATTTACATTTTATGACATTACTTACCTGCTACATCCTTCTCCTGTTCCCTACTGTCATTGAAAAGAGGCTTGCTACTTGACTGTGGTTTCTCAGTTGGTTTACTGAGCCTTCTATCTTTCAAAAAGTGAGGAGATCCTTTATGCACTCATCTGGATTTTGCAGGTCCTTCCTTCCAAGTTTATTTCCATCAGTGTTTGGGGCCTACGATGCTGTACTTTCAGGAAAGGAAAAGATGTCAATGAAAGGAATCCACCCAACCTAAAAATATTGAGTTCATTACCAATGTTGTTGTATATGTAGTGTAATGAGTGTGGATGGGTTGTTCTCAGTCAGATGCATTGGGTCTGGGAGAGCGGATTGCAAGATGCATCTTGTCTGTGGAGGAGAAGCTAGACATTCGGTCATATCCAAACATGGATGAGAATGATCAGATCCAGATTACAGCCCGGGCAAGGGAGATATTACACCAGTGTTATAACTTCTCCTTTGAGGTAATTTTCTAGTGTCATCACTTAAAAAGTTGAATGAAGTACATGCATGAAAGTATTATCTATCCATTATTTGATAACCCCTTTGTACTCTTTTGCAGATTTTTTTATATGAACATTTTTGTATTGATTCTGCTGTTTTTTTTGTAGTATGCAAGGGAGCTTCCAAAGCTGGTCACAGGATATTCCCGATATAAAGTGGGGCCTGGGATGATCCACCTGGCACAGCAATGGATGCGATTTGTTAGGGACCGTTGTGAGCGGGGTCGGGGACTACGACCTCGTTGGGCCAACCAGGGTCTGAACTTTCTCATTGCTGCCTGTGAACCCCAGTACCTCAAGGATCTCAAAGAGGAGGCATTCAAAGTATGTGTTTTCATTATCATCCTTATCGCACTTTCTTTGAAACTCTTGAGAGGAATAACAGGAAGGGGAACATCTTGGGCTTTCAAATCAAGAAAACTATTTATTGAAAGAAAGATTGAGGTTCATCTTCTAACTGAACATGCCTGCATTGAAATTCCCAGAACCAATGAGTGACTGTTGATAATGAAGGAGCAGAGTCACCAAAAGCTACCACCAAATTTTTGTGACATTGGTGGAACGTCAACTGCCTTCTGTAATCATAGAAAATCATTGCTCGAAAAGCGCTTCACGGCACGTCCATCTTGCCAGCGGGGTAGCAGCAAAGTGAAAAGTTTCAATCGTGTCGGCCGCTTTTATGGACTTAGGATAAGACTTCAGCTATCTTTGGAAATGTTTGGGAATGGATTGTTCTTTCGCCTGATGAGACGAATTTTTCAATCGTACCATTAGATATGACGTAACTAAGAACTTTCAGAACAACCCTCGTACATGTGCTTGTTTCTGTCTCACAGGGTTTTCAAGAGAGCATCAAGGAATGCATCACTCATGTGATAGGAAGTGCTCATCAGCAGACTTTGGCTCATCACCGCCACAAGCCACGACACCGAAGCTCCTCTCCAGCTATCCATGCCCATGCACATTCCCATGGCCATGGAAATCCTACCAATCGACCTTCCTACCGCTCTAGCCTTTCATCTCCAGCAGATCGTGTTATGAATGGGGCCATTCCTTCATCTCCTACATGCAGTCGCTCATCACTTCCTACCATTCCCACCCTTGAATTCATTCTCTCCCCAAGTGAAGACTCAGAAGCCACACTCTCATCACCCCCCAGTTGTAGTAACTTCAGTAAGTAACCTTTTATCCAATATGACACCCTGATAATGTTTTCTACCCTGATAATGTATATCAACATCTAAGCACTCATGTATGGCTTAGGCCTACAACCTGTACATGTTGTCTCCTTCATTATGCGTTTTAACTCTGGTACTACTTAATCCAGTAAAATTACAGAGTTGTAGCTCTGGCTTCATTTCTGTTGCAAGTAATTGAGGACCTTCTTGAGTGCCTCCTTAATCCCGTACTTCCCAACTTCACCTGAGATGCGGGAGTAAAAAGAAAACTTTCAATTCAAAAGCAGGATTGTCAGCTATAAATCCTTTTGTTTGGACTTTTTTTGTGCACAAAATTATTATTAGCATGTACTTAATGCAGATTGTGTAAGAAGATTTTAAGCTTTGATTTTTGCAGATTGATGTTGGAGAAAATAGAATACATGCCAATTTTACCATGCTAAAATGGGAAATGTACGTGGGAAAAGGAGTTGTGTAACTGTTTTGATATGTGCCTGTGAGGTGTACTTTGGTAGACAGGCAGGACTTACACTTCTTATCATAAAGATTGTAAATCTAGAAAAAATGTTGATTTCTTGAGAATATTTGGGTTTTTAATTTTTTTTATGGATGCAGACACACTGACAGAAGATCGAATGACTCGAATCCGTGAGTCAGTGGCACATTTGGATGCACAGCGGCGGCATTACCTCCAGGAGGCAGGACGCATTGGGCATGTCACTTCCACTGTCCCTCAAGCCCGCTTCCACATCAAAGTCAGATCTGTCAACTTCTCATGGCAGAAGGGCTTCAAGATTGGTGAGTTCTCTTTCTCACGCCTAAGTAGTTTTATTGCCAGAACACCATTTTCCAGTAAAATGGCAAGAAGGACTATCCCTCATACAGCTATTTAGATTCATGTTTTTGGAGAATCTACTTCCTTTTCCTTGATGTTATTTGCGATGTTCAGCAGATTTGCATGTTACAGTCAGTCCTCCTTCCTTCAAGAATCCAAAAACATCTGGAGAGAGTTCTGGTAGTTTTTAATGACTACTTCGAGCATTGCTCACTTCTACGACATACTGGATGATTGCAAGTTTTAATGGTATGCCTATTTTGTGTTGGAAAAGAAAGTTATGAGCAAAATTTGAAAGCTGATGAGGTTGGTGGAATTGGTGAAGTAAATGCTGTTCTTCCTACCTACCTACCTGTTCTTCCTATAAATTCATTGCCAAAGTTGACTATGCTTGATGAACAAAACTCCTGCTAAGAATCCTATCGTTGACTAAGGTTAATTTGAAATGTAATGCAAAAATAATCTCTCTAAATATAATAATAAAAATAAATAATCTCTGGGTGCACAAAGCACCCAGAGATGGATGCTGTTTGGATATTCTTTCTGTAATTTATTTTCTAAAACATTGCAGAAATTTTCAGACCCCAAAAACTGCTGGCTATCTATTGACATTTCCAGTTAAAAGTTGCAGCAGTGAAAGTCTTAAATTTTGCAGTAATTAGTGAAGGAATCTTCAAAACCATTCAATGATTATTATACTTTTTTATCTCAAAGAAGTGTAGATACATAAGAAATGTCAGCCATGACTCATAGAATTTATTATGCTAGAGACACCCATTTCATGCCATATTGGGAGGATGATGTATTCATCTGCTATGAAGTTCTACAGTGCCAAATACAAAAGACCAGAATGTTAAAATCACTCATCATTTGAGCACTTAACCGAGCAATGCAAGAGTTGAAGAAAATAGGGCTTAATGTAACAATTTGCGTGAGAAGCGAGCTGGTCGTATTAACATGCGTGCCTTGGCTAAGGAATAAGCTGGACCTCTGTAGTCATACCAATACATTCCCTTGTACTCTAGCTCCACTGGCAGCTGCCCATTCATGTAGCGCCCATTCAGATTGCTGAAAAGGTTGATGACAATTTTTTTTAAGCATAATTTCTTGCTGATGTGATAAAATGTGGATGGATGGAAATTATGAGGAACTGACCAAGTGTCGCAGCCATTGTACCACCAGGCACCCGAATGCATCTCAGCACAATTATCATCTGGCCACAGATCGTTGTCAACATCAAATGTTGTGAACTTCATTCCAGCATGATACAGGAAACTGTCACCTTGGAAAATACATTTTTTCACTTCATGCCTGTATTGTAGTTTTTATCAATAATGTTAATATCTATTTTCAAGAAATCAAACTATTCCAGAATTCCATTTCAAGGGACAAATGCTTTCCTGTCAAAGTGTTTAATGAATGTCCTATTATCAGAAGTTAGTCAGAAATCAAGGGTTATATTTATGAGCCCTTAAAGAAAAGGTGTTCTCCACAAAACCACACATCATGGACTCAAGTGTTCTTTGGTTACAGTGCTCAGAGACATAACACACAAGACACTGGACAATGTTATTGAAATAACTGCTGTATGTTGCAAAGAGTATGTATGTTGCACCAAAGGAATGGTGAACAGTTTGAACATGTTTCTCAGCATTAAAGAAACTTCTTGAGTTTGTCTATCATATGATATGTAATTTAATTTTCTATCATAATAAATAATGAAAATATGGGTGAAACATTTTTTGTTGCCACCCTGTATTATAAAATTAAAACCTAGAGATTCACAACATATAATTGATGTAATGTCAGCACAATTTCTATTGACATCCACATCTGAAATATTTAAACCACGTGCAATTTTACCTTTGAAGAAAAAAAAGGTGAGACTATTAGCAAAAAAAGTTAATCAATAAAAATTAATTGCAAAAAAATTTTAGCTTATTTATTACATGCAGATATGATGAAAGTTTGTGATGAAAAATGTTCAATGCTTTTGGTTTGCTGAGCATTTTTTGTGTGAATATGCTATGAATAAGCTGAATTGTTAGTGTAAAAAAGATTCAGATCAACTCTTAGCCCTAGTGCCATTGCTGGTGCTTGACTGGGGGTATTCATCAAACCTGTAAAGATACAAATGAAATATTGCAGAATTATCATTAGGATCCCTATGGATTGTGACAGTAAAAATAATGAAAATCTGAGGCTTTATACCCTTTGAGTAGTTCCCCTCTATTCAGTCTTCATGATGAGATGAAGTATGAGAGGAAATAAACATTTTATTGAATTATGACTAATTTCTTATCATCCCACTTGGTAGTTTTGATGGCATGCTGCATGCAATATGCCCCCAGAGGGGTAGGTATATTACATGCAGCATGCCATGCCAGGACCCACCTAGCCCCAAATATTAACTACAAGCTCTAAATATTGTCTGATGTGCATGTACTCTGACACTTCTTGGGATTGGATTTATTATGGAAGTGTCTTGCTAGTATGAAATTCATCAGGGGGACCAATAGGAAAATTCAATATATCTCTCCAATAGCATAAAGAGTGTCAAACCAGCATCTCCATCATATTTCCCCAGGAGTTTCAGACTGTAGCCCTCAACTTCGCTGCCTACTGCAAATGCCTCATAACTGGCAACCACCTTCACTCCATCAAAATCCTCAAGTTCAATTCTCAGCTCACACACCTGTCCAAATGTTAGAAGGGACTCATTTGAAGAAAGTAGAAAGATGCAAAAATTAAGTTGTGCTATTTAAAATCATACCTCCTGGGAAGTCAGGAGATGGATTTTTTCCAAGCCAAGCCAAAATTCTCCTCCTAAGTTCCCAAAGCCATGTTTGTAATCATGCCAGTCTCTGTAGAACTCCTGCTGTCCCTCATAACGATGATGCATCACCTTTAAATGCATTCAATGGCATCCATGTTATCAGTTATTTTCAAAATTAGCATGAAGGCAATATTAAAGGTGACTATTAGTTCCAAAGCTAATGCTCCATGAAATCCTTTGGGAGAATCATTTTATAGCTAGTTGAAAATAATTAAAAAGAGTACTATTTAAAAGACCAAAGTGGACATGGTATCACTGTGACTGCTGTAGCCTTTGGTTACATGTTACGAACAAGTCACAACCAGCAAAGACACATTTGATATCATGCCTCAATTTCTGGCAAGAGGGAACCTCCTCTCACACAGCTAGAGCTACAATAAAATGCATATAGCAAGCCTTTTTACAAGGGATGCAAAGTAAGTTCTTGGCCTTACTACCTTATGTCACTGATTTTACAGCAGTAAAGGCTAGTTGTGTCATTGCTGCACTGCTTCACTTTGCAGTTAAAAACTTGTTGCTACTTTGATGCAAGAGTAACACTTGGAGTTTTCAATTGAATTTCAATTTTAATTGATTTCCACAGATTCGAACTCCAATCTGTCAACAAGTTTTGGCATGTGATGATCAAATGCATCTGCTGAACATGTTTCAGAATCATTCATGCAGCACAGTAAAAAAAATGGGCAGCTAGAATAGCTGGTTGTGAAGGACAGGTGAATTAAGACATGGGAAATAGTATAGGCTTTGAGCATTGCAAAGGGTAGCAATGAAGCTACAAGTTGTGACAATTAAGCTCTTGAACTGAATTTTTACATTCAAGGTGGAATTACTACAAATAATGCCATACCATGTACTGATACATTTTACTGGTATTGTTGTACTAGTCCTGAATATCATAGCAAATGGTGATGACTGGCAATAATAATGTTGAGAAAGGCAAAACTGAAGGGTGGTTTAAGGATTATCAAAGGAGTGCTGCAAGGCTGACATGGAAATCCTAAAGGTACAATGGAAGAAATGCACTTTTAATAAGGGTGATGATGTTTAAAAATCATAAAAGTATTACTGACTAATAGCCACATTATGACCAGGCTGAGAACTTATTGGTCACCCCCTCATTAAAGACCATATCATCTCCTTTCTTGGTCCTAAGGAGTCTCACTCAGATGACATGCCTCCTATGAGTTGTTTTCCATGGGAGTATGCAAGAGGGCAGATTTAAAGGATTTACACTCCACAGCTCTTTTGTTCCCAGAAACCTGATTTCAGTGTCATGACTATCCCATATAAAATGGTGTTTTTTTTTATTCACCCTATAATGGAACTAGAGATAAACTGGTAAAATAAAATACTCATTTTTTTACTCCACATTATTATGGCAGTTCCAAGATCTGGGTGCAGGGAGATGAAGGTAAAATGCCTTAAAAATATAGAAAAGAGTAAATTAGAGGGGTGGAAGTATAGTAAAGGGTGCTAAAAAAATATAGCATTTGGGTATAGCCCTTCAGAGAGAGATTATGGAAGATCACAGTGAACAAGGACCATGTGGTGACAATTTACCCACCGTCCAGCCTCCATCCTGTGTCTTCATGTCACAATATGCAAACCAAGGCTTGAGCAAACCCTTTGGTTGAAGCAAGTAAATGCCTGAAGGCATTTCAGCTGCTACTTCAGAACAGGAACGTGGGACTCTTTCATTTGTCCCTGCTGTAAATGAAAATTGAATTTCAATCTATGTGCACATTCTGCACAAAATGCAAATTGTCAAAAGCCATGACCTGATGGCAGGGGTGAAGGACAGTGGTGTGGTTGCATATGGTCCTTGAGGTCTAGCAGTTTGTTATGAAGGTCAGATCTGGTCACTGTCTGCCTCAATCGTCCATCCAATGCCCTGATGAGTAAAAAAAAATTATTCAACAACAATAAATGATGAAGGCATTAAGTTAAACTTATAATACATGTATGGTTTTTTATAAAAAAAATAAAAAAGGATTCAGTGATTGTGTCAGTTTAAAGAGCTTTAATGATACTTTGTAAAATTGTATGCTCTTTGATACTTAGAAATATGCTATGATCAAACAACTTGCTGAAATTGCCTTCAGAGATTTCATCTTAGCACTATATTGCTGTTAGACTCGCAACAATGGCTTTATAGTGAAGTGGCTTGAAGGGAGGGGAAAAGAAACCTGGTGTCATCAATGGCACCACCTTCCTTGGACATTTTACAAGTTTTTTCTGTATTGCCTCATCCTAGACCTTGAAACTTGGCTCGGTTTTTCTATACATCTTTAGGAATTTTCAAACCATGTCTCATCAATAAAATTCTCCTCTGTGACCATTTTGTGCAATTTGTATGATTCTATACTATCATGACTCCATAGTTGCTATTGAAATTTGTGTGATAGGCAAGTTTTCCCTAAATTTCCATCCCACACCTTTGAAACTCATAGATTTCATGATATATTTGCACAAGTTTGTGATTTACCAAGATCAACTCAACTTCTTCTTGGTTATGCTTTTTTTAATGATGAATATATATTGGAGAGAGCTTGAGAAGAGCCTTCATATGATATTAGCATCAAATGTGTATCTTTTTCAATAGCAGGAATTATACACTGCCAAAGTGAAAGGTTGCATTTAAAATTTATCTTTTATCTCAGTTCATTTTCCTGGCTCAAATATGGCCCAAAGATGGTAGTTTGGTCCATGAGATCACTTATCCCCCAAAGGGGGTGGGGTCAACTTTTGGACATAAGGGGGCAAGAGCTAAATTTAGGAATTAATATCTGAAATATTTGAGTTAGAGTGCTGAAATTTGGATTTTTTTTTAGCTGAGGGAGGCCACCATGCACAAGTTTCTTTTATTAAGCATATCCCTTTCAGAAGCACAGAAACCAAAGTTTCAGAAATTGAATTGAGTTGGAGTGCTGAATCCTGGATCAAACTCTGAATCTTTTAGCATATTTTCATTCTCTCATATTTCCCATATCATTTTGCCTCATAACTTTATGATAGCTCACATTTATTCCACAGTACATGGTTAAAAATAAGGAAGCAGGGGGAAACTCCAGATTATTCAAAAAAATGTTTTGACTTTTTCTTTAAGATCCCTAAGCTTATTTATTTCCATCTCAAAATAATACATGAATTTATCTTTAAAAAAAATCTTGAAACAAATGGCAAGCAATCCATGATGGAATTTCCTATGACTACTGTCTTCCATCAGATGTATCTCACTCTGTTGAGATTCCTCTCTGATAAATGGAGAAGCTATAAAAGAATGGCAGACTGAAGAGTAGTTGGGACTCCAGGGTAGATGATAGGAAAGAAGGTGAGTTTATAGCAAAAACTCCTTAACATATTGAATCAGATTTAATCTGAAGATTCACACAGGCTAACATCAGTCTTTGGAAAGTACTGTTATTCACCTTGATATATTGGTGATGTAGGTGACATTTTGGACTATTCCTGTCATGGCAGACTCCATTGTTGCTAAAGATCCCTTGAGGCTGATCAATGTGGCTGACATGAGTCTCAGCTTGTTGCTTGACACTCGTTCAACACCCAATGCTAGACCTGCTTAGGACCCCACTTGAACATGGTGAAATATTTTTTTTGCCATTAATCTAGAAGGCCAAAAAGACTGTGGTACTTTTATTGGCAGGTTCCTCATGATTGAGGTGAAACTTCACCTCTAACACAGCCTGGTTAAGTGTATGGAGGTCCTGCCGAAGGACCTCAGTCAAAGTTGAGATCTTGCTGATTTCCCAATTTAGTGTCTCAAGTACACGGTTCTGGCTTTGCCATTCTGCTCTCGCTGCTGTCTGCTGGTCCTTCCCTTGCATCTCCACCTGGGTCAGCCTGAATTATGTATTAGATGGAAGTAATCATCTCAGCAATATGGAGATATTGGCAAGAAGGATAAAAGAAGCAAAGTCAAGCTGTAAACCATACAATGCTGCTATACAGGGTGATTGAAAAGTCAGCGTGTATCACACTTATTATCATCAATGACAAATTCCTGCTCAATACTTCAAATACTAGCACCATCACTGATGTACATCATTTATTGCCTTTACTTTCTCGCATTGTTGAGGCTTCCTACATCATGTCATGAATCCTACTGCAGTGACTTTTTGATCACCCTATACAAGTAGTAGCAAGTGATATGAAATGATACAACAGCACATGGGCAGGCAGACCAAACCCCATGCTCAGAAATTGTGTAAAAGCCTACATATGTAGGAGAGAAAGAAAGAGAAAGAAACTAATTGTCTAGGCAAAAAAGCCCTTGGTTGGTATGGTACTGAGGATTTAAGGTGAAAGATGCATTTGTTGGTACTATTCCTTCTACTGTATCTTACACTGGATACATGGGTTTTAGCTCCCATTAGGACATATATTGCCTCATAAATTAGAGGTTTTAAATTCCTCTTCTCATATGCAAACCTTTATGTAACATTCCTGATAATGTGGCTTTCCTTATGCAATGAGCAGTTAAGGTAAAAAATGAGGTTTTAGTGAGTCAAGGCAACTGGAGTTAAATAGAAGAAAAATTATTTATGCTGAGTTTAGACCTGAAGTCCAGGGTATGGAGATTCTCAAGGGCAACACCAATGCTGTTCCGAAGTCCAGACAAAGTTGGCATCTCCTCACTTATCCTCTGCAGCAACTCTATCATGTTTCCTGTCTGCAGAATTTTTAACAGCATGATATCAATAACTTATTTTAAATCACAAGAGAAGATAGTTTGTCACTGTACCTCATTGTGGTTCCCTTTGCCCCTAACATCTGCTCCTTTCCCTATAATTGAGAGACCTTTCTGATCAGGTGTCAATAGAGGATCTTTATGAGGGATTAAGAAATTATATATCTGAACTATTTGAATTTGCTATAGAAACATTTAAAGGCCAATTCAAATTTTATAAAAATGTGAAACATCCATTTGAACAATAAGGAGTTGTATATACCATATGGGAATGAAGAAAGCAGGAGGGCAGTAAAGATGTAGAGAGCACAGAGGGAGTCCATGTTCTCCCTACTCCTCCTTTTCTGGCCTCAGAGGGAGCCAGACTGACATGAAATATTTGTTTTTCTTAGGTGTCCTATTCTCAAGCTGTTTGTCTCTTTTTTTTATTTTCTCCCCCTCCCCTCCCTTCCCTTTTCATCTCTTCTCTTCCCTTCTCTATGGGTCTCCATCCATGATCAAGGGTGGTGTGTTTCTTCTCAAGGAAGTCTTGTTGAAGAGGAAAGATGTCAGTCATAAAAAAAAGTATTTTATGGATGGAGTATTGCAGGGTACTGTACTAGACCATGAAACATAGGCAAGCATGGCATTAGCTGAGTCAATGCATTTAAAGGCTACCACATCTACTTGCCTTCTCTTGTATAATTGATTTCATGAACAGGTCACCTGAAAGCTTATATGGGGATTTCATATGTTCTTTGCTGAGATCTCAACTGGTTATAAGACACTGATCTTTTTCACAGACTTATTGAAAGTTGAATGGAAAGGTTCTACTATGTGATGATGTGGTTGGTGGTTCCTCAATCATGCTTATGAAGAAACTTTATAGAAAAAATATATTACTGATCAATTTCGAATGTCCTCATCCTATATGGGGCAATCTTGCAAAAGATCCTTGTGTACAGCCCTCTGCTGCTCAAGGAGAAGATTTGGTCTCTGCTCATGTCCTGATCCCTGTCACCACTAAATATGCTCAAACTCTGCCAGTCAACTTTCAATATATAGGGTAGGCCAAAAAAAAAACCAGTTTTCTGTCTGTTTTGTTAGTTTACTGTTTTCAACAGTACACTATACTGCACTTGCAGCACATATTTTAATGCAGTTTGTGGCATTTGAAAGGGGAATGAATAAGCTTTACAATGGTGTATTTACATCAAATGTCTTCAACAGTCTCAGAAATTTGGGAGCTCATATAAACACCAAGCAAAATTACATTGTCACAGGACAGGACAGGGATGGACAGGCGGCAGCCTTCATGAGTGAAGGTCACATGCCATCTCTCTCTGAGAATGTGGCAATGCAGTTTTTGTTTGCTGTTCATATGAGCTCCTGAATTTCTGAAACTGCAAAGATATTTGATAGGTAAACAATCATTTTAAAGCTTATTCATTCCTCTTTCAAGTGCTGCAAACAGCATTAAAATATCTGCAGTGCATGAAGTGTAGTATATCGTTGAAAACTCTCCAGGTTATTTTGGCCCACTCTGCATATGTCATTACCTGCAAGAAGGAAGAACAGTATACTACTGTACTACTGGAAATACCTTGGGCCAGCACCTTTTGGATCACCCCTCCCTGCATGGTTTTGAAGGATATGTTTCATGACTATCACATGTAGAGGTGGCTGTGGTTTGATTTGAATGGTTGTTGTGTCATATCATTTTATGGAAAATTGCAGCATGCCAACTAGAGGATTTTACAGTCAGTGGTATGTGTTCAATGTATGTTGCCTTGTATTTTGATCATGTGAATGTTTATTGGTGGTGTGCAGGTCAAGGAAGGTTTGGGAAGGTGTTTACAGCAGTGAATAATCGAACAGGTGAGCTAATGGCAATGAAAGAGGTTCCTCTCCAACCCAATGACCATCAGGCCATCAAGAGCATCGCTGAGGAGATCCGCATCTTTGAGGGCATCCGACATCCCAATCTAGTCAGATATCATGGGGTTGAGATCCTTCGAGTGAGACCTTCCTCTTGCTTTTCTCACTAAAAATTAATTGAAATTTTATATTGGATAACTAAACTCATTGCTGATAGGATAAGACAAAAGACATTTTAAAAGGTCTTATGCAAACAGATGGAGAAAAATCAGTTTAGGTACATTAGTCAAGTAGACTACAGATTCTGGCTGATTTGGTTGCTGTACCTGGATTTATTTTCATCATATATTTGTTAAATAAATCCTTTGTGAAGACCTTTCTGCCAAAGACTGTAGGCATTGTCTCAAGCCTGCACAAACATTGTAATGCACTGCATAAGCCTAAAGAGCTGTGACTCTACCTGAAGTAATGAAAATTAAGCTTTGACAATAGTAGACAGTAAGCAACAGATGAAAATGTTGGCAACAATTTGGCAAAAATTATGAGACTAATGGAATTGACAAAAGATTACATAGTTTATTGGTAAACTGCCATGACAGTGGTGAGACTGAAATGGTAAAAGATGTTCTGCTTTCTAGAATGTAGTATGACTGTTAGCCTGCTTATGCAAAATGGCTGACCGTGAGAAATACCTTTTTCTTATCCAAGTGAGTCTATGACTAAATTTGACCTACATTCTCCTAGCTTTCAGTTCCCAAGACCATGATTGTAGTTAATGTAGACTTTTTAAAGTAAACCCATGCAACCTACACCACAGGGTATCAATGCAATCAGGACACTCAATATGTAACTCTGATTCACATTCACCCACACCTTCCATTATCCAGAAAGATTGTTTCGATATGCACATTTCAGTGAAAATAAGTAGGCTGGGTAGGATGAGTATTTGCTGATGTAGTAAATTGTACCTTTATAGGATGAGATGTTGATCTTCATGGAGTATTGTGGAGAGGGGACATTGGAGAGCCTCTCTGAGAGTCTCCAGGGACTCCCTGAGTCCCTCATCCGTCGCTACACCAATCAGCTCCTCCAAGCTGTCCTCACACTCCATGAACATGGAATTGTCCATCGAGACATCAAAGGTAGCCCAATCCCCAGTTTAGATACATTCTGAGTTTTAAATACACTTGTATCAAGAGCAAAAAATGAAACCAAGGAGTAAAGCAATCTTGATGATATTTGGTTTACAGTTTTGTTCCAGTGTGTCATGAAATGAGTTTAAATGAGTTTCATGTGTGTAGGATGAATATTCAGAGAAAACTTGCCCAATACTCCAAGTTAAATGGGTGGAAGATGGTTCATGCAGGAGTTTATTCGTGAAATATGGAACTAGAGCTCTTATTGATCTTTAAGAAAATTAGTAAAGTTTCATGGTGATAAGGTGAGGCAGTTCAAAGAAGAAAACTTGTTGAATGGCTGAGGAAGAGAGTGGTGCCACTGAAAACAGCAGTTTCCTTTTCTCTCTTCCTCAAGCCCTCAAGCCATTGTTGAGTGTCTAACTGAGAAGCCATGCCTATGCAAAGTTTCCAAAGGAAATTTCACTGCTTGTTCCAGCATTTGATCAACAGAGGCTTATAGCATGTGTTAACCTAATGCTTGCTAAGCATCCCAATTAACATAAATCAATCGTTTGAATAAGTCAGTCACTAAAAAAAAAATGCAATTTCACTATCTCAGTTTCAGTTGGAATGACCCAATAACAAAGGTGACTGAAGGAAAAAGAAAAGGAAATTTGGAGTATCAATGGTGTTACCCTTTCCTCAGATGCTTAGCAATCTTTATCTGCATCACCACATCCTATGAATTTGAAAATTTTCTCAATTTTTCTACATATCTTCAAGTGATCCTGTTACACATTTCATTGACATATATCTTCTGGGTGTTTTATGAAAATTCATCCAATACCCTTGAAACTGTAGCCAATGTCATACCCATTGCTACAAGTTTGTGTACTAAACTTCAAGATTCTTTCAATTCCTTCTTGGTAACTTTTTTTTTTGTCTGAGTATACAAAGTGAGGTTTGCCAAATGCAAGACATTTACAACTGCTTCATGATTTGAATGTTTTTTAAACTTGCACTGACCATTTTTCTCAAGTGGTTAGAAAAATTAGATTGGTACAAGTCCCTATTTGGCCACAAAATGTTGGTAGAACGTTGTAAGACTACGTTATTGATCTTGTGAAAGTAAATTAATTTAATGGCAATGTGGAAACCTTTGTCAGGTGCAAACATCTTCCTAACGGATGAGGCCAACAACTTGAAGCTTGGAGACTTTGGGTGTGCTGTGAAGATGCACACCCAAGCCACCTTGCCTGGTGAATTGCAGGGCTTTGTTGGAACACCTGCATTCATGGCACCTGAAGTGATTTCTAGGCAGGGTGGCTATGGTCGTGCTGCTGACATTTGGTCTCTAGGATGTGTTATCATTGAGATGGCCACAGGCAAAGTGAGTTGAAAGAATGCTTTATATATCAAATTACATAAATTTTTATGCATCAGAGGTGATTATACTTCCTTTTATATTGTTCCTGCCAATGATAAAAAAATTGCAAAAGATTAGAGGAATCTAATATATATAGACAATCGTGACTGACTGACTGATGCTAATTCTAACCATGTTCTAGAGAAGTTAGATTTCTAAAACTTAATACACATATACCTTTTGGGATGCAGAGTTCAGAAAAAATCCAACTTTGGGGATACATACCCTGGGGCACCAATTTTGGGGGGAGATGTTTTCAATTATATATATTTGTTTCAGTGAAACAGACATGGAAAGCTGAAACTTGGCATGGATGTACCTACTGAGACATAAAGTTCAGGGAAAATGTTCAGTTTTGGATACATGCCCTGAGGGCTTTTTTTTTTTTTGGGGGGGGGGTGACATATACAAAAAAATTTTTTATCCCCACTGAATTGTACAGAGATAGAAATGTGAATCTTGGCACAGCAATAACTAAGGTGATGGTGAGTTCAGAAAAAATGCAGGTTTTGTGGTGCATACCCCCCCCATGGCACAGCATTTGGCCATGTCAGATTTTCCAAAGATATTTTTGTACCAGCAAAAAGAGCAAACAGATAAGGCTGAAACTTGGGGTGCACGTAGTTCTCTGAGAACTTATTTCAGTAAAAATGTTAATTTTTAGGAAAACACCTTGAGGGCATATTTTTGCAAAAGGTGCATTTTTCAGAAACTTTTCTGATTCATTGAAGTAGAGAACAAAAAAAATTGAAACTTGGAGCAAAGTACCTGCTTGATTGCTGAGTACATGTCTTACTTTTCAAATATGCCCTCTCAGGGCAGATTATGAAGAGATTTGAAGTTAGGCACACAAGGAACAATGGGAGTAATTATTCCAACGAAAATATCGGTTTGTTCTCTTTCTATACACATTCCGAAGGGCACATATTCTTAATGTGTTTTTGACACTTCTAAAATAAATTATTGAATGAATCACTATCCTGGGAATGGAGCACCAAAGGCGTAACAATAGCAAGTTTGTTTGCCCAAAGGGCAAACAAGCTCACTAGTATCTTATATATTCACCAGTTAAAATTTATCCTGTATGAAACTAATCTTGAGTAGAAGGGATTGCTCCATTGATTGCAATCAGGTTATACAGGCCTACTGTTTGAATCTCTCTGCAGCGTCCATGGCCAGATCTGGAAAACAACTACCAGATCATGTTCAAGGTTGGAATGGGGGAAGTACCTGAGTTTCCATCCTCCCTGAGTGAGGAGGGGCATTGGTTCCTTTCTCTTTGCCTCCGTGGTGAGCCCAAAGCCAGGGCTTCTGCAGCCCAACTCCTCGATCACAGCTTTGTCAAGGTTCCTTCATCTATTCCCTCCTACTGTATCTCCACCTCATCTTTAAAAGCAATATTTTCTTCCCACAAGATTTAAAGTTGTGCCATGTGATATTTATGATACATTTCTGATATTACCAAAGATTTCTGAGTGCAATAAACTTCACCCAACAAACCCAAAAATTACCAAGGGTAATTTTTTTTTTATGCAAAACACTGGGCTCATTTCCCTGCAAAATTACTTTTGCATGCAGAAATTGGAGCACCATGATGCAAGTTTTGCAAAATGAAGTTGATCAAACCCAGAAGTCCTTGCTCAACTAACATGTCACAAATATATTCAATTGACATCAATTTGCTCAATGTTGGTTCTGAGTTTGTATCTATTGAAAAATTTGCATTTGAGTTTCCTGTTTATCAGACCTTTTTGTGTACTAGTGTTCCTAATTTCATACTTTTAAATGTATTGCATTCCATGAAATTACTGATATTCTGTGTTATTGGGTTTTTGAGTCATGAATTTCATTATATTCAGTTCTTGATATCTTGTCCATAGGTGTGCATGGAGGATGACTACAATGAGAATCCCAACGACCTGGCATCTCACGACAAGAGACGGTCTCGGAAAAAGTGAACAGATCTCAGCAGCCTGTATTGGAGACATTTTCTCAAGTGCCCCAACATCAAATAACTGTCATTTAATGTCCAACTTCATCAAGGCTGGACAGTTCTGGACTGTAACCATCAAGGCAATTATCGAGACAGTTGAATTTCATGCAGGTATTTTTTTTAATGAAAGGATCCTGGTTTCTGGTTCAAGTATGCAGTACTGAATGAGGGACATTGGTTGGGATCCTTGATTTTTTTTTAAATCTCAGTGTCTGAATATGAAACTGTATTGTGATGATACTTTATATGAAAAAATGTGATTGGTTGAGATGCACAGCAGGAGCAGCAGTTTGATGAAAAAGTTATTTTTTTCTTTCTGACTCAAAAATCTCTCCCAGGTCTCAAAATATTCTCATTCCAATGCTTGGCATTGCCTATCACTGAGTTTTGTGGTGCTATCCACATTGCCAAATGTCGTGATAAAAGAAATAGCTCATTCCCCTCATTATTGCCACAGGAAATTTAGGACATTCCTATACCTGTTTTCAATTTCTTTCTTTGTGGCACTTGCATTTACTGGTGACTGATTTGAATAATCAGAAAAACTGGAGCAACTCTGAAACTTTGTACCTCAAACTTTGCATTTTAATAAATGAAATAGTTGTTCTCATCCCTGTAGGCTACAACTTGCAAGTGTGTCTGATTTTTTATGTCCCAATTATGGAACATCATCAGAATGGGATCTTTTATCTGGAGGTACTGTCTTCCTTCTTTCTATCTTCTCCTTCATTCCTACAGGGAATCCCCTTTCCATGGTGGATTTTGGCTGAAACCTTGCCCTTGCCCTTGGGGTTAGAAATTTCCCAGGACTAGAATGCTGCAGTTACATTATTACTGGAGATATAAGAAATTAATCAAATCACTACTATACTTTGAACCAAGCAGCTGAGTTTTCAGAGTAATGAGTCCTGAACAAGCACTCAAGATGTTCAACAACAAAAATACCCTGTGGACTAGACTATATACAAGGATGTATAGTCAAGGGTACAGTTTCAGTGCCTTAATCAACAATGGCATTGGGATAAACTGATATCTACAAGATGTGATATTTCAACTTAAATGGTCCTTTCCTATTTTATTTTTTTTTGTCTTTTGGAGGAATTGTGTCCTGTTTCTCATATTGAATGTTTGACGCAAAATATTATACTCTATACATTTTGAACAAATTGTGTTTCAATATAAAAAGAAATCTTCCCAGTGAAATCACATCTGTGGTTGTTGCTGTGGGGTTTGAGGCTGCACAGCTGGAGTCCCAGGCTGAGTTGCCTGCTGCATTTGTTGTGATTGAGGGCGAGAAATAAAGCCTGCATTAATAAGCTGCTGCATGTGACTAGCACGAATGCGTTCAGACTCATTCACTCGACTCCTTGCATGTTCCAATCGGTGCAGTGCCATCTGTAAAACTTTCTGAGCTGCATAACTTGAGCCTTCATGTGGTTGACCTGTTTGGGGAAAAAAAAATACTTCACTATTTGCCAAGTTAGGTCTGCAAAATCTTTTAAAATGCCATGTACCAAGAAAATAGCTGTTCATGTACTGTTCTTGATTGAAAATGTTTACCCAAGTTCTAAAAGACATACCTGTGGAAACTTGGGTGAGGTAATTGATCTGTTTCCCAAGTTCTTTGTCGACATTGCCTAGAGTCTTGAGAAAAGTGGCTGCATGGCCATCCACCTGCTTAAGACTTGGCTTATCCTTGCTTAGCTCTTGCAAAGCCTGACCTGAAGGAAGAGAGCAAGGTAACAGTGAGGGCTCCTTCATTCCAATCTTATTGTTTACAGATTGCCTCGCCTGGATATTTTCAATCTTCTGTGAATTCAGTGTCAAATGAGGTGAGGGTGTCACCTGTTCAAGTCATTAACTTGAGCAGTGATGTCCAGTACATTTATTCCAATGCTTTTGACCACATATTTTGTCAAAACTTGTATGTTGACTTATGATCCTTCTTGAGTCATCAAGCTTATTGACACCAACAATCTTTTTGTCCCGCCCTCCTGCAGTTACTGAGATTTTGCCTTTCCTCAGGTGTTCTGACTTGTACTTAATGAATCAGGTTGAGAGGTCAAGGCCTTTCTTTTAGGAGCATGGATCCCCGCAAAGAAGGCACTTGGCAGCTCACTCATGATTTGAAAGATGTGCATAGTCTTCACCAAAACAGAATAATTATTTATTCTGCCATCCACGAAACAGCATCAGTAATGAAAGCAAAAAGCCATCTATCCCTGCTACCATGAAGTAGGATACCACTGTCTTGATGCTGCTTTACTGTCAGCTGGCTTTCCTATTTTCTCCTTTGGTTTTGGCTTCTGTCTCTGAAAGCCTAGATCAGCAGCACCCAGTGCAACCACCTCATCCTCCTCACTATCAGACATGATGGAAATCTCCTCAACTGTCTTCTTTTCCTCAGCTGTCACTTGCTGGACCATCTCTACATCAGATGATGCTGATGACTCATCGAAGTCAGATTCATCTTTTGTGCCCTTTGGTACATCCCACTTCCCTACTTCGATTGACATGTTCTCCACCTCATTTCCAGTCCTTTTCGCTGATACTCTTTGAACAATATCTCTCATAGGAATGTCTCGAGTCTCTCTCTCAACATCAATCACTTCTACAGGGGGTTTGACCATAAGACTTCGAGGCAGATGAGCTGCAAAGCCAGCATGCTCCCTTTTGGACCTTAATGCCCCATCCTTCTCCAACTCTTTCTTGATATATCCCACTAAACTTCTGGCTCTCAATGCAACCATTTCAGCACATCGCCGAACTTGATCCTTGATGAGGGGAACAGACCCTGTGCGATGCAATGTACAAAGTTCTCTGAAGGGATTTGCTCCTACCACCATGAGTCCCTCACTTCCCTTTTGCTCTCTTTGATCAGGATCCATCAGTACAAATTTCCCATTTTCATAGAAACTGAATGACACCAGGATGGGCATATGATGGATGGACAGCTTGATGGGATCTCGACTCTTGATTGAATGGATGGTGACCTCTTCTCCTTCAAGAGTTACATCTGGTCTACGAAAATGACACAAGGCTGAAAGCGCTGCAATGCTAGCACAATCAATCATCCCACCATCATCACACATGATACTGATGTCCACCCGCAGCTCCCACACCTTCTCCTCTCCCACAATACAAAGTGATTCCATGTCAACAACACGTGCTTCCTTATAACATCGCTCTAGCAAGCGCACTAACTCAGTCCTGGTCTGTAACAACTGGTCATTGTCCAAGAGCAAAATGGAACTCATCAATGGGAAGTCAACGTTAATGAACAGAAATCCCTCATTAGGACGAGTGGCTTTAGGAGCTTTCACTTGACACGTCACCTGACACATCACTCTCGTATTCCCCAGAGATGCAACGCAGCACCCGAAGTCCTTCCCGAATGAGATGTCAACATTGCGTGCATCATTGAAGCTTCTGCCATCTATTCTTCTGTGCTCCTTGAGAACACCGAGTAGAAACGTCTTTTCAGAAGTGGAAGTTCCATCCTTGAGGCTGATCATTATGCTGAGTATGATCAGAACAGTAAGCTAAGGTAAAATGAATTCTGGAGGATCGATGTCTTTTACACATAAGACATAGGCCCCGGTCGAGGAAAACAGACAACTCCTTACTTCAGGAGCACATTCAAGAGCGATAAATGATGAGAGGATTCACAAGGGAACCGCACCTGCACTCATAAGGACGGATGTGATCTCCTTTTCGATATTTTCCAAGACCTGCAGCCGCTCCATCGGGGCCGCCATGGTTGCTGATGCGCTGGGGATGCAATGAACGCACCACAACTGACACAATGTGCAGGACCTGTTCAGTCGTTTAACCAGCCGCATACACCTCTTGGTCCGCCATGCAACTGCCAGCTGCTCTCGCGCATCAATCGCAGCGTCCTGCTATAAACTCGGTCGGCTGCAGAGACCTGCTCGGACTGATTCAGAGCGCGACCGATAAGCCCTCAACGAGGCTGACCTGCACCAAATCTAAATACGATTTCTGTACACGAAACTTGATGCCCAATACCACCCGACCGAATTGAATTTGTGATGCACGCAATCCGAGATAGGCCTACACAGTGTGGCACATGGGCATTGCCATTCATTTTCCATAAATGGGGTTAAAATTGACGCAGGGTGGGAGAGTCTGAGCTCCCTTAATAGTACATACGGAAGAATGAATTTATTAATTGAATAATGCCTCATAGGTCTCGTCAAGGACAACCACTGAGATGAACTTATTTCAATTTCAATATCAATTGGTATGTACTATTATCATTAGATTTATTTTTTCTAAAAGCAGTACATTTATTGAAAAATAAATCAGTGCATTTTCTTGGAAGACGCTCTTTAGACGACAACTGAATTACTCGTGAGAGAATCATGAACTAGTAGCGAGATTGTAATGCATCTTAACTCAATGTTGACTCAACTTAGGCAAAGAATGCAACATTTACAATCCCGTCCAGTCGAGGTTGATACTTGTATTTTACGGATTATTGTTAGGATGCCAGTATTGTAATGGTGGCGAATTGATCGAAGTCTTGTAACTCCACATGTTCAATATTCAATCTGTTGAAAGTAAATACAGACCTGAACTGAATAAAAGAATCCTACTTTCCACCGACTCAAAATTTCAGTGCTAGATCAAATAGAGCTCATACAAAGGTTACTATATAGGCTCCTACCCTTTACTAGTGAGAAATAAGTGAGCCATGCGCGAGGACATTAGTAAATGCCAACGTTGGCCTAACGTTGCCCCATCGGTCACTTTTACTTGGAGTCCAAGGGAATGATGGAATGACCAACGTATGGTTAACGGGTTCTGCCATTTGCAGCCAGCCTTTTCACGTTGAGGCTACATAAACCGCACCAAAAATATTATCTGAGTACTTAGTAAGATTGTAAACGTGCCTACGAGTTCAGTTCGGGTTGGGTCAAGAAGTTGGGTTACCAATTGAGCGATGGATCGGAAATGGGCAGATCGGACTGTGTTGAATGAATGAATATAAGAGACTCAACTGAAAGTACAGTTGTTCTGAGGACCGAGGAGTCCGAGTATCAAAAAACACACTTCAGGAGGACGGGAAAACACCACTGAGCTAAGTGGAAAAAAAAAACCAAACAAACATGTATTTGGGGAAGTGGCATTAATGAAACCAAAGTATGAAGTGTACAGAGGTAGGGAAATGAAAATAAAAATATGAACAACGAATAATAATAATAATAAATGAGACACCGATATCAGTGAAGCACTCAAGGCATATGCTGTGATATTAGGCGACCTTAGGTACCACATTTAATTCCAGAAAGCATATAGCATCTTGTCTGAGGAGGGAATCTCATAGTTTGAGGCCTCGTTCGTTGAAATTCGGCCCGTGCATGACTCTATCAAGCTGTCTCTGGATTCAGCTCCAGATTCGGATCTCCGTTTCCACTCCCCAAGCTACCTTGAAACTTATCTCAACTTTTCGTTTTGTTCCTCGTTATGGGCTTTTGTAGGAATTTGTCCTAATCCAGTTTTCTTGAAACTCTCAAGAAATGTGTATCGCGTTATTAGGATTAGATAAAAATTAAAATTAGCCGGAGTAAAGGCAAACGTATTCCTGTTATCGGCTCGCACAGCATTCACAGCAGGTGGAAGCGCTAATAAGACTTTCGAAGATAGGTGAAGTTCAGTCGGAAGTCAGAAATATATTTAGTGAATTTTGCACTCAGGTTGGCATGTACAGGTGAAAATATATTTCATCGAACGTCGTATCGGATTATGTGTGGAACCGCCGTTGTGCGGCATGACAAGTAGCAATGACAGGGAGGCAATGTGCGGAAAAGTGCCCTTTGGTCTGACATAAAGGGTCCATTGGTGGAAACATGCTGTGTTGGAAACACTGCTCCATGCAATGTCTCGGAAAAAGAAACGTAGGCACCAAGGATAGAAAATTTATTAATCTTCATCGGAGATTGCTATCGAAAAAACGCACTCGAGCAAGGCCGCAATCGTGTCTCTAACATGGACCGAATCCCCAGCTTAGGAGTCCTCTCGTGCGACAATCACCTTAATAATTTCCATTCGAGCTTCAGATTGGAGATGTTGGCCCACTAATAAGAGTGTATGGCTGGAGAAAAAGACTATCGATTTCGTACGTCTCATTACTGAGGATGGCTGGGGAACAGTGGCATATTTTGGCTGAAGGGTCGGGGGGGGGGGGGGCAGGGCAACAGAGCCAAACCCCACCTGAGAGATACCAGGGGAGAAAATTATTACCTCCAAGGGTGCGCCAATGCCAACATCCACTCGACGCCCTGACATTCACTAGAAGCGGAAGGGAGACGCTGACATCAGCAGACATCGCGAGGATGATTGGATGTGCCTGCCGTTGTATGCGGTAGGTGAGCGCAACGCCGATTTTTCGTTACTAAAATTCAATCATTTATTTCGAAGTCATCCTTTAAGAAATTTCAAGTCTGAAAAAAGGATTTCGTAGCAGACCCAAGTAGCACGTCGGTGGTGGCTCACTACCTACATTTGGGGAAGAGAGTTGGTGGCCTACCAACTTCACTGGGTTGTGGTCCACCAGGTACATGTCCCCCTTGCCAGCATTGACCCGCCACCTTCCGGGCCGCTAAGGAGCCAGCACATTACCAGTTAGCTCGTTCGTGGTGTACCACCAGCTGGGAAGGGTCCTAATGCCTCCTTGTATATCTGATTCACCTATAAACCGAATGTGCAGGCGGTACGACTGCACCGGGGTCCACGGGCCAGAGGGGCCCAGACGCCGAGCTACGAAGAGGAGGGAAGGCAGGGGAGGGGAGTGGGGGGGGGGGGGGGGGTTAGCGGGGGGCCCCTTGGCATCGGGGCGNAAACTCCTTCAGGACTAATGATAACATAAGCAATGTAAAGTGAAAAATAAATATAGCAGTGCTTGAAAACTCTTTTCATAGGTTAAGCATGCATGGCATCGGGACGAGGTGAGAGCCAGCATCCGAAAAGGTCAAGAGGAATCAAAGGAATTCAACGCAACACTGCACAGAGACATCTCGCTACTGGGACGCCGCTTCGTGTGGTTAAATGAAGTGGTGGCCACTTCCAAGACCATTCACCCAGTGCCGGATTAAGGGGGGGAGGGGGGGAAGGGCGTTGTTGCCCGGGCCCCACTTTTCCAGGGGGCCCTCGAAGGAAATTGAACACGTTAAGTATTAGTGTAAAGTAGCAGGGGGGGGGACTGCCCCTCCTCTGACCAAGTTCGCAGTCTAGTTTTTAAATGTAGAAAGCATATAAGTTAGTATTTATTAGTTCCTGTGAAATAGATATTCAAGGTTTTTACCCCAAGCGTAAAATGAAGAAGGTGATTGGACAGAGGGTGGTAGTAGATGGGGGGGGGGGGGGGGGGGGGGGGGGGGGACAATAAAATGAAGAAGGTGATTGGACAGAGGGTGGTAGTAGATGGGGGGGGGGGGGGGGGTAGGTTGGGAACTAAGAAACAGCCCCCCCTATGAAAAAAAATTTTCCGCCACTGTTTTCTACACTAACTTCAGCGACCGACGACAATTTATATGCTACCGGAGAAAATATATTTTTTAAAAATATGACTCCCACATAATTGAATAGTAAGAAATTGGACAGCAGGCCCCATTACATTCCTTGCACCAGAGCCCGTGCCAAACACGTTACGCCACTGATCTTGTGACGCTTTTCAGAAAATATCTGAGAGCAAACGTCATACAATTTCCTTTTAAGAGTTGACTTCCCGTCTCACTCATTGCGTTTCGTGATTACAGTATACATTTCCTTTCTCCTTGCTTCCCAAAACCTTCCTGCTTGTTTCCTAGGAGGTTCCCAAGTAGACACGTTGGTCATAAACCACTAGCTACTCGTGGGAAGAGAACTGGTGGCCCACCACCTCTACTAGGTTGCGGACCATAGGCTGCATATCCCATCTCCCCATCGGCCCGCCACTTTCAATGCTGCGAGCGGGCCAACACATTCTCAAGCAACTCGTATGTGGTGAATCAACGGCTGGGAGGAGAGCGGGTGCCCTATGCACCATATCTGATTCGACTCTACGAAGCATACAGCTAATTAGACTGTAGGACTGGTACTCTGGGGGTGCCTACAAAATGGGGTTTCCGGAGTGCAGGGATCTCCAGAGAGTTATCAGGAAAAGTATCTGGAGATGTTATCTGCGAAGGTTGCGATGTTCGGAGAGGTTCGTAAGAGAGACCTCTGTGATCGGAAGCAGGAAACCCGTCCAATAGTAATCGTTGACTCCAAGGTGTAGACTCCTTTGAATTACTCAGGACTCCGGGTTTATATAAAAGGGTGCGTAATCGTACACTACGCACAATTTATTATACAAGACAACAAAAGGGATAGCTGAATAAGGTTAGTAGCAAATAACAGCCTCACGCTGATGAGGGAGCCTCTGGGTCGTCCTCGTACGTCCTGGTTGTCCAGTGGGGGACCCACCGTCACCACAGTTCCTCTACTCCCACTCGCCGAGGGACTGCTCAGG